ACCGCATAAATTCAAATCCGCATAAAAAAGAACCGCATAAAAAGAAACCTAAGTGTATAAGTTGAAATTTTATAAGAAATTATTGAACATTAAAAACATTATACCTACATAGATATGTATGCACATATGTGCCTACCTAGTAGATAAAACTGGTCAAAATAGCACGAATCTATTCTTCTGTGCATGAGAATATATACATAAATATATACAAACATATGTGTATATACATATCTGTGTTCATATGGAAAAGTAGCTTATGTCGAAAGGCTGGCTTTAATATAAATCGGCATTCGCAGCATACGATTGCGAATGACTCACTGGCGCTAAGCCGTTGAACAACTTTTGGCAAATAAACGTGGAAGAAATAGTTCCGATACTTGCAAGTCAATATTCTTATTAAGTCTCATCAAAAAATTCCTTGCCGTTTAAAAAATAAAGGGATTGCCGCATTATACTAAAGCCAGCCTTTCGACTTAAGCTACTTTTCCATACGAACACAGATATGTATGTATATACATATCTGCATGCGTGCATACAATCCTTTACTCGAAATTCTTAGTTGCTGCAATTTTTATCCCATACATTTTTGCCGACCAAACAACGCGTTTGCCTGTCTAATCTAGGGATGTCAATCCCGGGATCCCGGTCTTTTTGAGGTCCCGAATATCCCGGGATTAGTCGATTTAAATGCCGGGATTGCTGGAAACAATTTTTTTGTTAGCCAATTAAATTTTTATCACAAATATCCCGTCTCAAGAGCAAAACAAGCATTTTTTGCAACATTGGTTGCGCTCAGTGATCGGACTTCTACCACATTGTGGTAGATCTGCCACTTTTTTGTGCATCTACCACACAAGGTCTGAAATCTACCACATATTCGCGTTTTTGAGTAGTTTTATTTTTGATAGACATAGTTTTCTTATTTTTAAGAGCAAAAATTGTCCAACACTAAATACTTACAGCAAAGCGGAATGGGAGGATAAAATATATAATATATATATAATAGCAAGTTTTCTCAGTAATAAATTTTTCGAGAGGAAACGTGGTTTTATTGTGTTGAATTGCAAAATATATGATTTGTAAAAATAATTAATTGCGAAAATGTTAAAAAAATGGCGATTTTTGTGCAAGTATTAGCAAATGTCAGTGCATCTAAAGTTTCTAAGGCGTTGTTTACTTTTACTTGAGAATTGTCAAAACCGCCGAATCCCAAGTAGAGGTTTCTGGAAAGTGACACATTTGTATTAGCTACATCGTGATGTGGTAGAAAGAAAACCTAGCAGCACTCCGCAAGGTTGCAGAAATCTCTCAAAATATGTTTGAAAAATATCTTGATATAAAGCAGTTCCTTTACACTGTCAAGGAAAAAATTGCAAAAACTCAACGCAATTTTTAGCAAATTCAATCTTGTACTTTATTATACTAAAATTAAATCTTTTTTTTGTAGATTCTAATTAAAATGTTTGCAATTTTGGTGAAACCTTGCAGAATTTTTATATTATTGTACAAAGTTTGATCCAGAACCCGAGATCTATCACATTTCTTTGAAATCTACCACATTTTTTTCTAGATTCTACCACACAAATTTTTTTTGAAGTCCGATCACTGGTTCCGCTTTACGCGTTTGCAACACCGTTTTAATAAAACTGCCGGAATTTCGGGACAATCCCGGGATCCCGGGATTGTATTTTTAGATCCCGAACATCCCGGGATCGACAAAACCCCGAAAATTGACATCCCTAGTCTAATCTGCTTGCCTCATTTGCCTCGCTCGTTTACTCGCCTCATCTGCCTCGCTCGTTTACTCGCCTCTCTCGTCTGCTGCTGCAAATGAGTGCCTCGCTCGCAACGACGCCCTCGCGAGGGCAGAGCTAATGAGGCCCTCGTTTGCTTGCCGCTCTACTCTTGCGCTGTCCTCGTTTGCTCACTCGCTCGCTGACTGCTCAGCGCGTGCGCTGGTACTTAACGAGTGCTCATTTTTAAACAGCTTCGCGTGTTGCTCGTGAGTTGCGCTAGCTCACAGCAAACTAACGAGCGAGCGAGGGGCTAAAATGAGGCAAATCCGAACCCTGCTGCCGATGGACGTCCGCTGTTAAGAAAAAACTTGTTTTCTATATTTTTGCGATGTTGCTTTGACCAGGGTTTGAACCCAGGTGCTGCGGAGTGGAAGCGCGCACTGCTTACCACTACACCATACACGGTTAAAAATTTCGGTTTTAATTTTAAACTTTTTGGACTACATATATGACCAAACTAAATTCAGTTTCAAATACAAACCTTCTAAGTTTAAAAAAAAGAGAGCACATATGTTGGGTTTAGAATTTAAACAATTCGGTTTAAATGTTAAACCCAAACATTTTCATAATTAACAATAAAAAAAAAAACAATCTTAAATTTCATGCTCCGTCTGGTTGGGATTGAACCCGGACAGCCTTGGTAGCAACCAATTGTATCAAGCATCTTTGCACACTCAGCTACAGCCACGCATGTAAATGTGCTTTCATATGTTGAGTTTGAATAAACACCACAATTCGCTGTGCAAACATATTCTATTTCGGTTTAGATTTTAAACCAAATTTTCTATATATGAAACCTAGAAACTAGAATTAAAACATTTTGGTTTGATTATTAAACCACGAACTTTTTGGGCTAAAATTTAAACCAGAATATATTAAAAATTGCGTAAAACTATTGACTGGTTTAAAAAGCAGACTATAAAAGTTTAAAAAAGGCAGTAGTCCCAGCGCGGTTTAAAAATTAAACCCAAATTTTTGACCGTGTACGTATATCTTTTTAAATAAAAAACTTCAAATTATTCCCCCTTTTG